TAGAAACAACTTTTTTTAAGACATTGGCTTTTTAAAACAGCCTTTTTGCACAATTAGATTCTGCTTCACTTTTTCTCACTTGGTTTATTAATCATTCAAGTGCTATGGAATCTGCCAATAGTAAATGTGTACTATTCTACAATTATTTTATTTTAGTAGTATACAAGTGAGGAATCTCTCAACTTTTACTAAAGAAAAAAGTGAAAAGCTGTTATTTTTCTTTTTACAAAATATAAAAAAGTTTTGGTCAGAGTATTATCAAAAAGTATTTAGGTTCTTTACATTTGAAAATGACTTGAGTATAAATGAAATGTATTAAAAGGTTATAAAACTAAGAGACCATTGAAAGTGGTGTTTTACTATGAATCTAATCTAACTTATATATATAGTAATATACAAATATAAATAATTTTTACATTGTCCTTGTTTGGATTGTTGTTACCTTCTTTTTTTTTTTAATAATAACTCTACCCCTATTTTTCTTAATAATATTATAAGTTGTATGATATTATATAATAATAAAAAATAATACAATTTATTTAAATATCATATTTATTAAGACAATACAATATACTACGTACGTAGTCAAAATATAAAGAATCATATATTTTTGGTGTCAAGAGAATTCAGTATAATACATACATACATGAAATTCCCTTCGATTAAAGTAGCAATAAACTTAATATTAATATATTTTAGCATGTTGTAACACGCGAAATATCTATTTTTTCTAGTTACTAGTCTCACTTATGAAAATGAATACTTACCTGCACTAATCTTTTAGCTGGTTTGATATTTTAAAATTTTATTTACATTATCAATGTATAAAACTTGTAAAAATAATATAATATATTTTTAAAAGTGGGGTGGAGGGGACCACTTGATAATGACATACATAATCCAAAGATCTTTCATGATATCATGCTCAAGTCTCCACTGACTTGACTATCTGAGAGACTATTAATAGGTAAGATTGGTTGTCTTGCAACCCTATTGAAATATGCACATTTTAAGATAATCATCATTACTAAGTCCACCCCACCCCCACTCTAACAATCTTATGTTATATGACCTAGACTAGACAATCACCTTTGGGTGTCATTATTTCCAATGAGAGCATGACAAACAAAGCATTAACTTAAGAAAGTTTATTTTAATATTTGAATGGTTACATGACCTAATAACAATAATAATAATAGTTATTATTAGTATAAAGTACACTCCAACAATTCAGGTGTTAATTATATCCTATCCTGAAAGTTTTCTAAATTATATCTTGAAATTTTTAGAATTCGCGAATACATATCCGCCCAATATATGACAAATGATACATAAGTTATGTATCAGATATATCAGTTACGTATCAGATATATAACTATAAACCAAACTCATACTTATTTATGTTTGAAATAACAACATTTGTATCAAACACATTCTACACAAACAAAATTGTAATGTATCTTATAAAAATGGAGTGATATATCCAGATGTTAAGAGAGGGAAAGAGAAAAGGGCGGTTTTTATAATTAATTCAAATAGTAGAGATTTTTAGAGATTATGTTATCTTAAATCACGTAATTACAAATTTTACCTTATTAATATGCTTCAGTTTCAAGTAAATTTGAATAAGTTATATAACATAATCTCTCTAAAATTACATAATTACACGACTTAAGTTCATTCTCAATTAAATTGAGAGTAGTTACAGAACCAGCTACTACGACAGTAATTATTATGCATCATTCTCAATTAAATTTAGATAAATCATATAAATTGCTATCATTGTTGTAACTTCATATTTAAGCTCATTTCAATTTGTGAGGACCACTCGTCTTGATGTAATAGTGGAGCCAAAATCTTCATCAAGTGACTTCAAAATATAATGAGATTCAATATCTACTATATAAACATAAACATAATTATGAAAGTATATAGATAGCGTAATTTTCTGACAAAAGGTCAGATGAACTCCCTGACAGCCCCTAGTTTTGTTCCTACTTATTATAAATTGACTAGACCTTGATACTTATCCAAATTTGAAGCCGATAATGTAATCAAACTCATACAAATGAAATTATTAGAAAATCCAACCTAAACATTAGAAAGAAAAAGTATGAGAAACAAAAGATTGAAAGGTATTGATCAAATGTCTAGGAGATGTCTTCATTAACCTATTGAAAGAACCTCATATGAACTTTCATGCACAAACAAATTTAAATTCACATTACATGTGCTATGTTCCATTGTTTGGACATTGACAAATCAATACTTTAGTAAAGCTTGGATTATTCCATGAATTACTAAAAGGTCTAGGAAAAACAAGTATATCATAGAGAAATTCCTAGAGTAATACTAGGACTACTAATATGAAAGACTAAGCGAGATAGCTTTGAACTACCTAACTAACCCTGTATATTCAAGATTAAGCTTACATTTTCTGTATGTATAGTAGATATTTAATCCCTTTAGCTTCTTCATATTTAAACTCCCTCATTAAAAATTATGTCTCCGCCACGACTTATATGAACTATATGACCACTATTCCTAAAGAAAATGTGATGTAAAAGAACATAAGAAGCCAAATAGGAACAATCAAATCAATTGGTAAAACAATGTCTACATTCATATTATATAGGTCATTCTCAAGATAGAAAAAGTGAACATTAAGAATCAATTGGACCCTTCATTATGTGGTTTATTATTAATGTTCATTCTCTTATTCAAAAGTTTTTTTAAAATTATTTTAACAATAGATGTGCATGTACTTCTGAACTGGAAAAAATATGATATCTGCAGCAACAACAGTACCATTTCAGTAGTGGAGTATGTGGTGTAATGTCTAGATTTTAGGAGATAATATAAAGCAACAAATATTTTCTTGAAGATAATATATCTGCACCAACATTATCCAAACACACTAAATATTCATGATCTTGTAGTATTGCATTATAACATGGACAAATATTGTGATATATAATTTAATTATCAAGTATATATACTATACAGTTGAATAAAATTTACTTTTCCAACAAAGAACCTTTAAACACTTATACCAGAATATCCTACTTCTGACTCTCCATCTCAGATTTTCTTAGAATTATTTTTCTCATTGGAGCGATCAAGGGCTGAATCTTAGTGGATCTAGACAATAAGTTCACTCTATCACTTATAATACCCCGTCATATATTTAAACTAATCAAAGCGACTAGGGATAAATCTCAGAGGATTGTCGCAACAAATTTTTTTGCACTTCTTTCAATATTAATTTCTAAAACAACAACTCATAAATACGCCATGTGATAGAAATATGCTCTGTTTTTTTTCCCACTCGATGTTTGATATCCACATTGGGATTCCAATTAATTTGGATCCACGCATAGACATTTCAAGGGAAAGCGCTCCTTAACAAGATTTAGTTTCACATCCCATGACTCAAACTTGAGAGGTATCTCTGATTAAGGGTGGATGGATCTTATGCATCCCACCACCACCCTAATTGGTTATATATATATATATATATATATATGATATAACTAGATTGTTCTCAAAGTAAAAAAAGGTTATCAATCTCGGAAACTAGAAGAAGTTTGGTGTAGAAAAATGTCAATCACAAATTTTATGTCATATCAATGTTTCATCTCATGCTCCTAAACCCCAAACAATGCAAACCAAAACTGGAGACAAAGGGAAAAGAAGTTAGTAAATGAGACAACATATAAAGATTGGTTGTGATTTTAGACCATGTGGCAATAGCTTTTGGAATTTGTCTTGGAGCTTTTGGCTCTTTTAGTTTATCTCATTTCAATTTCCTCTATCCACCAAAAATCAAATTTTCATAAAAATAAAGGTCAGAAAATGTTCTTGAATGCATTAGAGGAAGGCTTGAATTTGTTTTTTGGATGACCCAAAAATCCGTTTGGGGCTAACTTTTAGGACCAGCTGCAACTCTCAAAACTCGGAGATCCTGGGGGCACACGCATCTCTACCATTCTCCACTTAAATACTAGGCCTAGTTCTTATGACGCTGGACTTAAACCCATGACCTAAGTCACAAGTCTGTCAACCTTAGTCGCTTGAACTAAGTCTGGGAGCTTGAATCATAGCATCAAGTAATTCATGTTGCTAATAACTCAAATTGAATTTCAGAATAGCAAGGGTAATAGAACATTTGTTTACCCTTTTTTCGAACAAATGGTAATAATATTAACCATCAAAATGCATAGCAATTAGTTGCTGTCAAGACTCTGATTCTCATGCCAGATATGGCAAATGATTAGTGATGCAAAAAATTCTAAGAGATTTCACTTTAAACACTATTGAGTCTAACATGACTAGGATTTAAACTTTTACACTCCGACCGTTCCAGTTTTATGTGACAAACTTTCCTTTTAGTCAGTTTCTAAATTTTGGGAACAATTAGCTTTATAACCACACAAATGTTATGGCATGTTTAAAGCCACAACTTACAAAAGTTTTATAACCACACAAATGCTATGCCATATTTGAGACCACAAGTTTCAAAAGTCATTTTTTTTTTTCAACTCCGTACCGATTTGAACTGTCACATAAAATTTTGCACACATTCATTGTTGTTCCTGTAATATGACCATATAAAAGAACTAACCAGCATAGCACTTCTAGTGCTATTTTCATGAAAGAGGTTGCTGGTATGGTTGTTGCCATCGAAAGCAAGTAGACCATGTGCAGAGTCACACTAACAACAACAGGTTAGTTCTGTGTACGCAGGTTGTTTCTGATAGACCTTCGGCTCAAGTAAAGCATAATAAAATCACGTATGGAAAGGAAAATACTGTAATGCAGAAGAGAACGGTAACAACAACACATGGGTTAAAAAGCAAATAAACCCTGTGCAGAGTCATGTAAGAAAATAACAAAAAATTAACATTATGGGTATCAACACACAACAAATGAAAAAAATGAAGGCGCCAATAATGGAAGCAATGATAAAACTGCATAATAATAAAGAAACATGGACAAGAAACTCGGAACTGATTTATTCTCTATTTCTTCCTGCAATGACCTCTATATTGAGTGTACACAAAGAATTACAAGCATTCAATGTCAAAAAAAATAATTACTGTCATTTATTTACTAAATATTCCAAAATTTCTAAACTGAAACCCCATTCCTCAGGGTTAGTACAGGACACAACATCTATGACAACAAAATTCATGGTATAACCTCAGTAAATCAACTATATATCCATTCATTTTTCTGACTTCCTTCAATAGTATAATCATAATTTAAATATAACAAAACTCCATCATTTCGGGAAAATAATCAATTAGAATTTTTACCATACTCTATAATTGGCTGAGCCTTACGCCCTCGCTGTAGCTGGAGGTGCTGCATCATCACCCTCTTCCGCATTCCCTTCCATCTGACTAAGCAACTGCTTATTCTTCTCAAGTGCAGCTGCAACTTCAGGAGGCATATACTTCTCATCGTGTTTAGCCAACACTTCAGTAGCTCCAAAATAACAATCCCCACTTCTCGCCTTCTCAGTTACCTGTAACTTTTTCTCACTCAAGATTTCATTCTCTTTCTTCTTCATCTCTTCAGTAAATGGCTTTATAAACCCTTCTACTACAACGGAATGCCCTTCCCGAAAAAGATCCGGTAACGACCCGTCATACTTAACCAAAATATCAGTAATCAAATCAGTAATCACAAATTCCATTTCTGGGGAATTGGGTATTGGTGTTACACTATTTTCTAGCACTAATCCACCAAGTCGAAATTTGGATCTTGTAGGGTTCTCAGCATGTTTTGCTAGAGCATCTGTAGGGGTTAAATAGAATACAAGTTGGTCTTGGAATTGGTTAAGGACTATTACTATGAAACCTGCTATGCAGCTGAAGGTAATGGCATAGGTCCACAGACGGCGGGTTTGGAGTTGCCGGGCTTTGGCTGCGATATCAGGCCGAGCTGAACGGTGGGATCGTGCGGGCCGGGAGAGTGTGGAGAAGGATCTGAGGGTGAAAACAGTTTGGTTGGTATTGAAATGGGGAAATACTAAGGGCCGAGACTGGTGGCGGAAAACTGAAATCAAAGGGTGAGATTTGGATAGAGCAGCGGTGGTAGTGGCAGCAGCGCCGGTGACGACAGAACGAAGGAAATGGGAAGCTAGACGAGAAGCTAAACGAGAAGAGAGTTTTGAAGTCATTGAGATTTTGTGGAATTTATCAGCTCGTTGATGGAGATAATAAGGAGGGAATTAAGGTTAGGGGTTGGGCGTTTGGTATTTCCAAAGTTCGATTTCTGTAATCTGTAATCGAAAGTAGATACCAAAAACCAAACTTTCAAAGTTCGGTCTAGTACCAGTAATTTGGTATTGGCGTATATATAAGCCTTCAAATTTTATTTATTATTGGCGTCTACAAGTTGAATCGTCTAAGAAATAATATGGAGAGTTGCTAATACCATTCCTGCTGCAATACATGAAAAATAATAATTAGAAAGGTAACTGCAACCTATCTAATTTTAATAACCAAATATATTCTTGAAATTTCGCGCATAAAAATTATTTGCAACCTTAATTATTCTCAACTTCACAATTTTGACTTGTTTAATAAAGGCAAAGGTTTTAATAACCTCTCTAGAAGTATCTTCCTACTCTCTTTTCTTTTCTAATTCTTATCTAATTCTACTTCTCATTCTCTACTAGAATTATCTTCGATTAACTCAAACTCTAGCTGATTGGTGCAAATAGATTGGGTCTCATTATTCTAAGCTGTTGTAAATCCATTGGGTATATTAGCTAGATTTTCTCCATTTTACTGTTAATTAACAATTCTACAATTCTGAGAAGTAATTTATAAATTGTCGGAATTATTGTTTGTGATCATTAGAGCGATCTTTTTAAAGATAAAAATTGGAAAAAGTATAGATCTTCAAATACTTGCATAAATTTCTACTAGAGATCATTCAAGTAATTGGTGAAATCTGGTACAAAAATAATCGAAAAAATTCCAAATCATGAAAACATGAAGAATTGAAGAGCTAAAACAGATTAATTAAGAAGAAAATAACAATAGAATACAAACCTTCAAATGAGAATTGATATTCAATCTGGAAAAAATGTTGAGCAATTTTGCCCTAAATTTTCTATTTGCTCTGTTTTTTTTGTCTATAGTTTTGATAGATGGCTTCTTACTAATGGGCCTATGTCACATTATGGGTAAGTGCCTTTATTCACTATGGTTGTTCGGTATACGGAATATGGGATAGGCAAAAATATACGTGAGATTATTATTTTATCGAGTCTTCTATATGAGATTACTATCCCACTATTTTCTTACAATTGATGGGATAAAATAATGTTGGGACTAAATAATACTGTAACCAAATATGGGATATAGGGGTGGGACACAATTAGTGATAAATTATTTTAGGAGCCCAACATTTCTATCCTAAAAGAATAGACAGCAAGATAACTAAGCATTATAATAGGCCTTAAAACAAATTTCATATGCTAAGCATGCATTAAGAAAAGCGACCAGAAAGAGAAAAGACACCAGTTGACAGAATGCTTTGCAAAGACAAACTCCAAACAACCACTTTATGACAAAGAAAATAAACACATTTCAGGATTAAATTAATTCACAGTAAACACCAAAGAGCAAAGATATTTCCCCAATAAGGACTAACAAAGCACCAAAGGGACCAGAGCACGCCTTTCGAAGCTAGAAACGAAACGCTGTTAAGGGAAATCTGAGCCATAATGAACAAATACTAATTTGCCATAACCCAAAGTAACATAAATAACAATATTTTCTCTCTAACATGCAGCAAATGACAACTGAGGAAGAATAAATGAAAATTATATTTTTTGTATAGTTGAGAAAGGTGACAACAGAATCCGATTGAAGCTAAGCATATTAAACAAGAACCAAATCAGCACATAAAGTACCACAGAAAAATTACATAATTTCTAGACATGAGTGGAAAAGGAACTTTTAACGCTTACAATTTCACAAAAGGGGGACGGGACATGCTTTATTTAACAAACAAGATCAGATGCTCAATACAATACAATATTTACTGAGACTACGACCAGCTTGGCATCAAATCGAAAGCAAGTGACCGAGAACTCAGATATTTGTTACTAAGAGGGGTAGAGAGATGACAACAATGTTTAACATATTCACATCTCAAAGATTCCAAGTGGAGAGGAAAAACTAGATTAAAAGATCAGACATAAACTTTGAAACACGAAGAAACACAGGTAAAAAAAAAAAAAACAAGCACGAAATCATTGAATCGAAACTAGCTGGCTACTACACCCAACAAACTTTAGCCAATACAACATACAATTTCATATCAGCTAATTTTTCATTTAGCATGTTAACAAACAAAGGCATACATACAGGTTTAATGAGATTCAAGCAAATAGGCTCAAGAAGGGAGATATAACAGAACAAAACTCCAACATTGAGTACAAATCCACAAAGCTTTGGGACTAAGAACATATACATCATATCATAAAAACTCAATAGCAACAAACAGCCAATAAAAGCTCATTTTGATATAGAAGAAGAGGCGAAAAGAATATTATAAAGAAGAAGACGTTACCATTCTCCGGCTAGATTTGAGACGAGAAACGGATAGAAATTTAGGGTAGAATCGGAATTCTGAAATCAATTCCCAAATTCAAAATTTCCTCCCAAGGACTAGAACAAGAACAGCTACTGTCCGTACGGAAAATTCGCCGTTTGGTATTGACTCAACCTTGCCGTGAATTCTTCTGTTAAGCTTCTGGGTCCTTTGTATTGATGGTAGGAGTTGGGCCGGGTCATTGCTGATTTGAGAGGAAAAGTGGGCTCGGGAATGGTAATGAAGAAGTGGGCCGCTGGAAAATAAGTAGTAGTAACTAAAGAAAAGGAATTTGGGCTGATGAAAAGGGCCCAAATAATTGATTCTACTGATGGGGCCACAATTGCAATTACAAAAGAATTAAAATTGTAACCAATTGAAGTTAAAGACTTAGCCGATATTGAAATTAATTGGTGAATTCGATCAAAATCTAAATAAGACAAATTTATAAAAATTAACTAATGAGCTTCTTAATCTCAATTCGATTGCAAACTAGAAATTATAACTATAACTTAACTAAAGTAAATTAATAAAACACTTAACTAAAAATATAAAATCTTTTGGGATGATTTTCAAATATTTATAAAATATACTAGTTGTATATAAAATATTATAAAATGACTAAAATTACTTTTAAACTTGAAAAATATTTTGCACTTTTATAAAGTAATTATTTCAAATCGTTGGAAATTTAAAAAATTCAAAAAATTAATTCCCATCGTGAAGGGTCAAAAATGGGTGTCAACATTAATTATTCTCAACTTCCCAATTTTTTTCCCATTCAATCTATTTACTAGGCAAAGGTTTTAATAATCTCTCTAAAAGTATCTTCCTAATCTCTTTTCTTTTCTAATAATTCTTAGCTAATTCTAGCTCTCATTCTCTACTTGAATTATCTTCAATTAACTCTCCCGGTATGGTGATCGAACTCAAAATAATTGCTCGATGCAAATCGATTGGGTCAAATTGTAAATCCAATTGAGGATATTAGCTGAATTTAGCCGTTAATTTACAATTCTAAAATCCTGTTAAGTAATTGATAAATTTTCAAATTATTGTTTGTGATCATTGAAGCTCATTACAAGAAGAATTAGAGATGTCAAACAGATTAACAACCAAAAAAAGAATAGAATACATACCTTGATGAGGATCGCTATTCAATCTTGTATGCTTCTTCTTCGAAAAAACATGGTGATTTTGCCTTAAATTCTTTATTTGCCCTCTTTAGTCTTTTAGTTTTGATATATATGGGCTTGTACTGATGCGCCTATGTCACATTATGGGCGGCATTATTCACTAATGTAATGTAGTATCCAATATCAAATGGTACTAATGTTTCACAAGGATATTATCAAATTTATGAAATTTTACTTTCCAATATCATACTGAAATTTCCTATGCGGCTTGGTAATTTAGTTTTCGGTGATGGTATTCACACCTAATTTTAATTTGATAGTATTAAATATTGAATGGTACTAATATCTCGAACTAACTAATGAAACTACTTAATGTATTTATGAAATTTTATTCTCAAATACCAAAATATTCTGTTTGGCTTGATAATTTTATTTTCAGTGATTTATGCCCGGTCCTAATTTCACATACTACACTATTTTTCACTTGGACTAGAAGTAAAATGCTCACAATTCTAAGAAGCATTTTAGTCCCTCCATTCCAGTTTATGTGACATAGTTTCTTTTTTTGTCCGTTTAATAAAGAAAGAAAACCTTTTGAATTTGGAAACGGACAAGTTTTTAACTACAGGTATGTTATGACATGTTTAAGGCCAAAAGTTTCATAAGTCAAATCATAAGTTTCAAAAGTATTCATTCATTTCGTAAATTCTGTGGGCATTCAAACATATATTCCCTTTGACCCTAATTACTTATCTAATTTTCCTTTTTTAGTTGTCCCTTTTTATTTGTCCATTTTGACAAATCAAGAAAGGACAAAATTTTTAACCTATTATACCCTTAATTAATTAATTTTGAAAAAAGTAAACCTTCTTGAAAATCTTAAATTTTTAAATCATCCACTTCATAATTAATAGGGATAAAATGGTAAACTCACTATATCAATTATTGTTTTCTTAATAGATGTGTCAATCCAAAAGTGGACAAGTAATTAGGGACAGAGGGAGTATAATAGAGTTATAAAGTTGAAAAAAAACCAATTATCTGTACACATCAGAAAGGTGCTAAAATTTTCAGTAGAGCATAAAATTTTACATATCACATCCCTTGAAAAGGGGTGTGGCTCTCCCCCGGATCCTGCTAACGCAGGATATTTTGTGCACCAGATTGTTATTTACTTTAGCTTGCTCACTGCACTGAATTTCACTTAGTAAAATGTTCATAATTCTAAAATCTTACACTTCAATTATCTTGCTCATATACTACACAAAAACTAGAGCTATTGCATTGAATCTTGAAGTGCAAAGATCAATTTTTTACTACACAAGAATGTACATTGGCTAACAACTAGAACTATATAGCATATAGTTTCTTATACTGATCTTCAGGGATCTCTGATTCTGACATGATTGATACGGACCGTGACAACGACTTGCTACTCCGAGCTGATTTCCTCTGACTTCTCAAATTCGAAGACTCAATCCGATGCATAACTACCCAGTAACACAGTGTCCCTAGTGTCGCGACCATGATAAAAGTTCCCATAAAAGTTACTGCACTTGCCATCCATCTTTCATCTTTACCTATAACGATATATGACAGTGCAAGAAATGCTACGGAGACAAATACACAAGCCAACCACATTAGCTTGTTGATAATCGCCATCATTTGCTTTTTGGCTCGTCTTTCAACAACCACGATTGATGTTTGAACAACCACAACAGCTAATGATATAAAGAGTGCAAGAGAGTCGAATATGAAGAAAATGACAAAAGGGGGTTGAGGAGCAATCCTTCCTTCTCCTATTGAGTATCCCGGAGGAACCTCCTTAGGATTATCGGTATATTGGCCTGGTAGATTAAATATGGCAGCAAAAGTAACAGTGGCTATAAGAACAGCAACAACCGTGGTGGAGTTTATGGCGTTGTTGATACCTTCTGTGTGCATTTTGTTCAGACGTTTTGCTATGTTCTTCACTCTTTTCTGAGTTTGGAAAGTGTGCTCTAACTGATTGTGAACGTCATGTTTTATGTCACTAACAGTTTGTTTCAGTTCTTTGGCTGAACGCGTTGGTAAAGCTAGCTTCATGTTCTTTGCAGTCAGGACACCATGTTCCTTTAGAATCGCTGCTATCTCTGAATTCCGTGCTTTCTCAGCAACGTCAAGAGCAGTTTCACCAGATTTATTGATGGCATCCCACTTCATTCGTTTGTCCTTTACGAGTGCTTGAACGATCTGCACAAAAGTATTCAGATAGTTAGTTGAAGACTTGACAAGAAGACTCTTCTGTGTTTTCATTTGAACATAAAAAATCGCGCAAATATTTGACTCTCTGTTAGATACAACAGAAAATTAGCCTATAGAGAAACATATGGGACTCTATAACATAAATGTGACAAAAAAGTATTCTGCTGTTATATAGAAATTAGAATAGTCACACTTTGAGTGAAAAAACAAACAAAACCAGGCTATACATGTTTAGTTTATGCGCCAAAAGTCATTTTTTCTTTCTTAAACTCTGTGTCAATCAAACACCACCATATAAAATGAAAAGTGAGTATAACATACATATGAGAAATTACCTCTACACGGCCTTTACGCGTTGCAATATGCAGAGAAGTATTACCCTTTCCATCAATAATTGTAGCCAAAGTAGGATCCGATAGAATAAGCTCGTTAACCACATCAACACTTTGGCCTTTGACTGCCATATGAAGAGCTGTTTGTCCCTTTTTATCTCTCCAATTTAAGATCCCTTCTTCTTTGCTTAAAAGTGCCTTCACAACTGCAACATGACCATTTCTTGCTGAAGAATGAAGCGCCGTCTTCCCATTATTCTTCTGTATTGTGGCTAAACTGCTATTAGTTTCCAAAAGGAAATTGACAACATCAATGTGACCTTGTGCAGATGCAGTGTGCAATGCTGTGGAATTTGACTGATCAAATGTAACTGACAGCTGAGGAAATGCCTCCAATAGTACCTTCACCATTTCTGCAACGAAAAATCGTAACATTTTAGTAAAAGGGAGGCCTAGTGCACAAAGCATCCCGTGTTAGCAGAAGAATCAAATTTATAAGATTTAACACTGAGGGGACTTCCGTAGGAGGCACCTAGCCAACTTGCATGCACCTCAGTGGCGGATCCACAGGAATCGAACCTGCAAACTAGTGTTTGCACAGTCCAGTACCACTTGGCTATCTCTCTTCTTTGATTAAGGTGGTTCAAAATTAATATATATATACAAAAATATTGAAAATCTACCCTGTATATACGGTGTAATTTTTTGTCAGCGAACCCCTGGCACCCACGTTGGTCCGCCCCGGGTGCACCTTTACTATTCTGCTGCCTCATACTAGCTGACGAGGAGTCTTACCAACAGAAAAATGAAAAAACCACAACAACAAATACTACGGCTCAATCCCAAACAAGTTGGGATCCCAGAAGGATCATGAAAAGTAATACCATGTATTCCTCTTTTTTCATTTTGCTTATTTCATCGACTGTTAGGCCACCCCATTAAATGCTTATGAGAAATGAAAAATTCATAGATGTCAACATAATGAAAAACCATAACAACTACGTATAACGCCTCAATTTCAAACAAGTTGAGATCCGCAAAAAAGAACTAAACACTTACCAAAATCACCCTGTTTAGCAGCAACATGAAAAGCATCATAGCCATTTCTAGCCTTAATACTAGCTAAACCAATATCATAATACTTGATCAATTCCTTCACTAAAACCAAATCACCAGATTCAGCAGCAACATAAAGAGCATTTTCACCAGATTGGTTCTGTTTTGACAATAATTCAACCAATTCTGCTTCACCACAACAAGTAATAATCTCTAAAACCAATTCAAGATTTCCACTTCTTACAACTGAATGGATTTGTGTGTCTCCTCTTTTCCCTGTTAACTGTTTTGTCATCTTTTTCACACAAACATTTTGCTGCACAACAGAGGAATCCATATTAGCTGAACTTCTTTAAAAGTTTCCCCTTTTATTTATGGTATTATAA